GTTGCATTGTTTTGGTTTGGGGTTTTTGGTGATGGCTGTACATCGCAATTCCTGACCTCTCCATTCCTTCTTTCCCTGTAATTTTCTTGATGCATGCAGCGGAGTTGATTCTGACTCATAATGACCCTATTGGACAAAGTAGAACTGACCTACAGAGTTTCCAAGGCTGTCAATCTGCAGGAAGCAGACTTTCTCCTACAGAACAGCCATCCTTTTTGTTAGTAGCGAAATACTTTAAGCACTGCAGCACCTGGGCTCCTTATTTGATTAGACAGAATTCTGTGGTTTTAAAAATATTTTCCTGTTTGTCAAGGCTATAATCCTGAAATTACCAAAATGGCAATTGATTGACTTCTACATAGCTCATGTTTTGTATCTGACTCCAAGGCACCTCAAGGAGAATGGTGGTGGTGGTGGTGATGGTGGTGGTGGTGAAGTGCGGTTGAGTCGGTTCCAACTCACAGCGACATTGTATAGGGTTTCCAAGGAGCAGGTGGTGGATTTGAACCACCAACTTTGCAGTTTGCATGCCACTACTTATCCTACAGCGCCATACAGCGGAATAGTACTTACCATTGAAGAAAAATATTTCCAAAAAAAATTTTTAAATATGAAAAAAGTACTTCACTCTATGAACTATTCAAAGCCAGTTCCAGAACAATTTAGACTACTTTGGTGTTTTAAGGGAAAGTATAAACATATTTACTATGTTCACAGAAATGTTAAGAAAAATACAGTGTAGGTACTTTGAGGGAATAACAATTTTACTTTTACTAATGCTCTTAGGATGTTTGTTTTTTACCATGAACATGTATTTTAACAACATGGGTTAAGTTTTCTTAGAAGCCTCCCTCCTTTTTACCTCCAACCCCACATTTTGTTTGGTACTAGCTGCCATGGAGTCAGTTTTGATTCAAAGTGACCCCTGTGGGTCAAAGTTTTCCATGACTGATTTTTCTAAAGTAAATCAACAGGCCTTTCTTCTGAAGAGAATCTAAGTAGACTGAGCCTCCAAACTTTGGATTAGCAACAAGCCAGGGACTCCTTTTGTTGGGTGAATAAGTTGATAAACCATAGGAAAATGGTGGGGGAGTCAATGAACTGTTTTCTGTGGAAGAGATGAGATTAACTTCATCTGGAACTTGAGCATGCATTACTTTCAACCCACAGAGCTTGTTAAACTGCAGATTGCTTTGATCCTAGTTTAGTAGGGCAGGGAAGAGAAGCAAGAATTTGCATCCAATAATTTGCAGCCTAACAATTCCCATAACAGGTGACGCTGCTGCTGGTTTGGGATATCATTTTGTGAAGCTCTGATTTATAGGCTGTTTGTTGTTGTGTTTTGTTGTTGCCTGGTAGCGTAGTGGTTACGAATCAGGCTGTGAACCTTAAGGTCAACAGTTTGAAACTACCAGCTGTTCGTGGGAGAAAGATGAGGCTTTCTGCTCCTGTAAAGATTTACCGCCTCGGAAACCCTGTACAGGGTCGCTATGAGTCAGAACCGACTCCACAGCACATAACAATAATGTTAAGTCAAGTATGCAAGTTTGAGGCAAGAGCTGAAGTGAATTTACTGAAAAGAGAAGGTGGGAAAGGTTTCCCAAAAGGAAAGTTCATGCTAAGGAGACCCAAGCAGAGGCCAAGAAAGGGCCAGTGGGAGAAGAGTTATGCCTTCTTGGGGGTATCGGCCAAGTTCTCTGCCTGTGATTTAAATCCTGCCCTATTGCCTTCTTCAGTACAATCTGTATTTTCCCCTAATGCTTGTTGTTGTTGTTGTTAGGTGCCATTGAGTTGGTACCGACTTGCAACCCTATGCAGAATGAAACATTGCCCAGTCTTGGACCAGCCTCACAATTGGTGCCACGCTTGAGCCCATTGATGCTGCCATTTTACCAATCCATCTCGCTGGGGGGGTCTTCCTCTTTTTCTCTGATCTTCCACCTTACCAAACATGATATCTTTCTCCAGCAACTGGTCCCTCCTGACAATATGTCCGAAGTATGAGAGATGAAGTCTGGCCATCCTGGCCTCCAAGGAGCACTCTGGCTGCACTTCTTCCAACACAGATCTGTTGGTTCTATGGGCAGCCCATGGCACTTTCAATATTCTCCTCTAACACCATAACTCAAAAGCATCAATTCTACGGTCTTCCTTATTCACTGTCCAGCTTTTGCATGCATATGAGATTATTGAAAATACCATGGCGTGGGTCAGGCGCACCTTAGTCCTCAAGCTGACATCTTTGCTCTTCAACACTTGAAAAAGTCTTGTGCAGCAGATTTGCCTAATGTAATACGTTTTTTTGATTTCTTGACGGCTGCCTTCATGAGTGTTGATAGTTGATCCAAGAAGAATGAAGGCCTTAACAACTTCAATCTTTTCTCCATTGATAAGAATGTTGTTTATTGGTCCATTAGTGAGGATTTTTGTTTTCTTTACGTTGAGATACAATCCATACCAAAGGCATACAAATACCAATAAGTATTTTAAGTCGTCTTCACTTTCAGCAAGCAAGGTTGTATCATCTGCATATCGCAGGTTGGAGCCTTCCTCCAATCCTGATGCCACTTTTTTCTTCATAGAACCCAACTTCTTGGATGATTTGCTCAGCATACAGATTGAATAAGTATGGTGAAAGAATACAACTGATGTTTAATGGAGAGGATTTTGTTTTGAAGATGGCAGAATACTGGTTCCTAATATAAACCAGTGTTAGACAAGAACAGAAACAGCTCCTACCACATCTGAGCTACATTTTCAATGTACTTCTTTTATTTATTTAGTAATGCAGACTCTTGGACTACAATTCCACATATTTCAGATCCACGTTCTACATATTTTATTGCCTTCTAGAAAGTATACCTTCTAGCATTCTCCATATAACTGGCATATGCTAGAAAGTTGCATAAACTTGCAAATACTTGCCAAACGGCCTTTGTCCAAGTCTAAAGTTTCTTTGGGTTCCAGGAAATCAGAAGCAGATTTCGGCTGATTGTAAGAACTTGCTGCCAAAGCAGCCCAGGATACAAAGAGCTGACTTGGTATTTGAGATGTTCCTTTGTGGAGATACAATAATTTCATCTTACTGGTTAGCCACTGAGCACTTTAACCACTGTGCCACCATGGATTTCCATCTTACATAAGCCAAAACCAAACCAACTCCACTACCACAGAGTTGCTTGTGACTCACAGTGACCCTAAGGACAGAATAGAACTGCTATACATGGAAATCTTTACCAAAGCAGCCTGTCTCACCTTTCTTTCATGGAGAAGCCTATGGGTTTGACTGCAGTGGAGTGCTTTAACCACCGCACTATCAGGGCTCCTTACACTAAACCCACTGCCATCAAGTCGATTCCAAACTCATAGTGATTCGATATGACAGAGTAAACTCCCTAGGGTTTCCAAGGTTGTGAAAAAAAAAGAATGTTTCTAACTTTTATTAATTGAGAATTTACAGAGCAGATCATCAATTTTACATTCAATAAATCAGATACATGGTCTCATTACAATGAATGCAATCCCCTCCATGTGCCGCCAGTTAACAGTATTGACTTCTGTTCGCTTTAACGTGTGCATTCCTCCCCATAGTTTCCACTTACCTTCATCTGTCTTCTGCCAACTCCCGTCTTGCATATTCCCTTACCCATCACCCAAGTTGACATGTGTCAGCCCTCTAGTGACTAATTTCCCCTTCCTTCTCACCCTTGGTAACCATCATAAAATGTTTTTTTTTTTTTAATCACAAAAACCCTTTTCTTTCCTTTTTATAACAGTGCTCTCACACAGTATTTGTTCTTTTGTGATTGACTAATTTCAGTCAGCAAAATGTCCTCCAGGTTTTTATCCATGTTATGAGGTATTTTGCAGATTTACCATTATTT